AGAGAGAGAGAGAGAGAGAGAGAGAGAGAGAGAGAGAGAGAGAGAGAGAGAGAGAGAGAGAGAGAGAGAGAAAAAAGACACGACGACTGAGAGAGGAGGGCCGCCACGTGAGCATCGGCACGTCAGCCTTCGCACATGAGCATTCAAAGAGAGAGAGAGAATAAGAAACGCGATCGTCGTGATCACCACATGAACTTCCACGGATCCCCCAACTCGTTCGCGCCACGTGCGCGCCACATCAGCGCGGACACCTTTACATACAAAGTATTTTTCTTGTTGTTTTTTTTCTTCTTGTTCGTTTTCTTGTTCTTGTTCTTCTTTTTCTTCTTCTCATTCTTCTTCTTTTTCTTCTTCTAACAATGCTTCTTTTTCTCCTTCTTTTCCTTCTTCTCCTTCTTCGTCTTTTTCTTCTTGTAACAATACGCGCTCTTGCGCACGCACGAACATAGAGACAGAGATACATAGAGCAGAGAGAGAGAGAGAGAAAGAGAGATCCGAAACGTTGAAATTTCATGAAATGTAAATGGATATCGAATTTCGTTGATGACTTGCTCATCTCCTTCCCTCTCTTCCTCTCACCCCCCTCCTCCTCATCCGTGTATGATCTCGGCCTGGCGCTTTCTTCTTGTATCCACCGCCAGGCCGTTCACACTGTGCGATGATGATGATATGTGTCCCATGGCATTTTGACATTCATGTTCTTGGATGAATGCTATCTTTGCTATGTCGGATGAATGATATCTTTGCAAGACCGCTCTCTATCTTTTATTATGCTATCTTTGCCAGGAAATCAATCAATCAATCAATCAATCAAGCAAGCAAGCAAGCAAGCAATCAAGCAATCAAACAATCAAGCAATCCATCAATTCGATTCATTGATTGGTTGGTTGATTGATTGATTGATTGATTCGCGTCGGGATTTTGGTCGCGTCGGGATTGCGGTCGATTCAGCAATCAATCAATCAATCAATCAATCAATCAATCAATCAATCAATCAATCAATCAATCAATCAATCAATCAGTCAATCACTTCGTTTCAATTCGTTGATTAGTTGGTTGATTGATTGATTGATTGACTCGCGTCGGGATTGCGATGACAGAGGTGCGAAGTGCGCGACAGAGGCGAGGGGATGGCAGAGGTGCGAAGTGCGCCACGTGGCAAGTGCGGCCTCGTCGAATCCCCCATTGTGGGGAGGGTGCATTTGCCACGTGGTGTACTTGCCACGTGCCGCAGCCTTGGTGTCATGATTAGAAACACATGCTATGTTTCCACAAATGGATTGAAAGTAGGTCCATGATTGATTGATTGATTGAAAGCGCGGAAGGCGGAGGTACGAAGGTCACCGGAGGTGGGGGGGGGCAACCCCTCCCCCACCAATCAATCAATCAATCAATCAATCAATCAGTCAAAAAAAAACAAAGTAAAAAAAAGGAAGCGGCGGGGGATGCGGAAGCTTTTCCCCCCGCTTCGTTTTTTTCACTTTTTTTTTTGATTGATTGATTGATTGATTGAATGATTGTTGGGGGAGGGGTGGCGACGATGGGCATCGGGATCGGGATCGGGATCGGGATCGGGAAGCGGAAGCAGAGTTGGCGACGGCGGGCAGATGTGTGCGGAGGCGGGGGGAGGGGGTCGGGATCGGGGAGCTAGGCGGAGGTCCGCAGACGCAGGCAGACGTCCACGAAGGTAGGCGGAGGTAGGCGGAGATCCGCGGGCGTAGGCGGACCTAGGAGGAGGTAGGGAGAAGTCAGCGGAGGTCGGCGGAGGTCCGCGGAGCTAGGCTGAGGTCCGCGGAGGTGAGGGTGGGGGAGACGACACATTCATCACCAATCAATCAATCAATGAAAAAAAAAAAAAGCAAAAAAAGATTAAAAAAACAAAAAAGTCGTTTTCAAACCGCGCGCAACTAAATGTGTGTGTGTGTGTGTGTGCGTGTGTCTCTCTTTCTCTTTTTCTCTCTCTCTCTCTCTCTCTCTCTCTCTCTCTCTCTCTCTCTCTCTCTCTCTCTCTCTCTCT